TTTTCCTATTAAGCGTCTCCATTTTTACATTCACTGAATGCAAAGTTTAAAAATGCTGCAGAGCACAACAAATTAAATTGCTTTAATCTGTTCTGCTCTTTGAACTCACATGGACATTAAATATCAAAGCTAGATAAGATAAACTCCCAAAAAAAGTAACTTACTGGATTTTCCCCATATACATTCAAAGCTTTCTCTGCATTTTGTTCTTTCTCTTTTTAAAAAAAATGATTTCAAATATAAACACTATACGGAGATATGATCTCGTACTACAGTTAACAAAACAAACTTTCCATTTGACATTGCCTGAGGAGTCACTCTATCCTTGAACGTATTTTATGTACTATGAATGCATTTTGAAAATCTATAGAAGCCAAAACAAAGATTAACCATGATCCAAATGGATTTTTTTAAAAACCCTTCTGGGTTATTTTCTAACTCCAATGAGAATTCCTATGTGTTATAGAGTGTTAGAAATATCCCTTTGTCCACAGGAATACTTTTGGGTACATAATCAATGATTAGGTTCCATTGACTTTTTTGGGTACATAATCAATTGTTATGGGCCGGGGTTTAGCACAGCTGGTAAATCACCAGCAATGATAAGCTCTACCAACTGAAAGGTTGCTAATTTGAAGCATGAGCTGCCTACTGTCAAGCCCAGCTTACTGTTGACCTAAACAGTTCGAAAACGGCTTGTGCTGTAATTAGAGAAATTAGGTACCACTAAAACAAATGGGCTGCAGCCAGGAAATCAGAAGACGTTTACTTCTTGGGAGGAGAGCAATGACCAATCTCAATAAAATAGGAGCCCCAGGTGGCACAGTGGGTTAAAGCCCTGTGCTGGCAGGACTGAAGACCGACAGGTCGCAGGTTCAAATCCCGGGAGAGGCGGATGAGCTCCCTCTATCAGCTCCAGCTCCTCATGCGGGGACAAGAGAGAAGCCTCCCACAAGGATGACAAAACATCAGAAATCATCCGGGCGTCCCCTGGGCAACGTCCTTGCAGACGGCCAATTCTCTCACAACAGGAGTAATTGCTCCTGACACGACAAAAAAAAAAATAGTGAAGAGTAGAGACATCACACTGGCAACCAAGATCCACATAGTAAAAGCAATGGTATTCCCCATAGTAACCTACGGATGTGAGAGCTGGACTATAAGGAAAGCTGAGCAAAGGAAGATAGATGCTTTTTAACTGTGGTGCTGGAGGAAAGTTCTGAGAATGCCTTGGACCACGAGAAGATCCAACCAGTCAATAAAGCCTGACTGCTCATTGGAGGGAAGAATAGTAGAGGCCAAGCTGAAGTACTTTGGCCACATCATGAGAAGAAAGGAAAGCTTAGAGAAGACAATGATGCTGGGGAAAATGGAAGGAAAAAGGAAGAGGGGCCGACCAAGGGCAAGATGGATGGATGTATCCTTGAAGTGACTGGCTTGACCTTGAAGAAGCTGGGGGTGGCCATGGCCTAACAGAGAGCTCTGGCGTGGGATGGTCCATGAGGTCATGAAGAGTCGGAAGCGACTGAACAAATAAACAACAAAAAACAAATGGGGGAGGTATTTTACGACACCATAAAGAAAAAGATCAGAAAATGTCTGACGATCAAAAGGAAGGAAGAAATCCTGATGGTTCTTCGCCATAGAGGACGGAGTGACAGCACCTCGTGGCTGGATTTTGAGCACAAACCTTGCAAAAAGCTGGATGTTGGTTGCCACAACATACCTCCTTCTGTTCTGCCTGTCTCTGTATTGTTTATCCAAAACAGTATTGAATTTTGCCATGTATGATTACTGTGATTCGCCCTGAGTTCCCTTGGGGAGATAGGGCAGAATATAAATATAATGTTATCATTATTCCACAATACTCAAACATTAAAAGTCCCGTCCCCCCCACCAAAAAAGCTACCCATATTGCTATTCAGTGGAATATTTGTTTTGATTAACTTTTTATGGAAAATAAATAAATAAAATATAAAGATACAAATTGTAATTAAAATGATGCAGTGTTGTAAAAAAAATACTGCTATTCCCGTTTTGAACTTGGGAAGGGATTTATTATGAACTCCCTCAAAAGAGGAAACAGATGTAAAGCCTGAAGGGAAACAACTGTATTTATTAATTTGCAGAGATACATAAGAATAGGGTGAAAGAATTTCCGACCTCAATAGATCATTCTTTGTGCTGGCCACCCAATAGACGGCTAGAAAAGGTCATAAAATTGTAGGGTTGGAAAAGACCACAAAGACCATTCAGTTCAACCCCATTTTGCCATCCACAGTCAAAGAACTCCTGACAAATGGCCATCCAGTCTCTGTTTAAAAACTGTCAGTCGCAACAGTCCTTGTCAGGTAATTTTGCCCATGAAAACATCTCCCTGGTAATTCTGCCCAGATAAATATCTCCCTAAATATACTGACTGAATCAGATCTTGTCTGATATTGGAAGCTAAACACAGTGAGACCTGCCTTATCCAGCCACGGTTCTGCAGGTTGCAAATTACTATCTGAAACGTCTTTTGGGTCTACAGACAAAGGACAGCACAACGAAGAATTCCACTCTAGAAATGTGTGCTGATAACATCAGTTTTCAAAGTTTGTGCTGACATTTCTCTTCTGAAAAAGACTGTACTGAACCTTTTAAGATTACATGGCAAAAAGAATGTTAAAATCAAAATTTAAAAGGAATGCATTGCTGCTAAAAGGGTTGTTGATGATGATGGTGATGATGATATGCGCCGCCAAAACATTTCTTGTGACCCTATCACAGGTTTTTACTTGCAGAATTAGTTTAGAGGGGTTTTTCCCTTGCCGTTCTCTGACGTTGAGAGAGCGTGACTAACCCAAGGTTTCCATACCCAAGAAGGAATTTGAGCCCTGGTTTCCAACACTCAAACCACTACATCACACTAGCTCTCTGTCGCAGCTCAGGATAGATTCACCTTGCTCAGAACACCACCACACACCAAGGCTGTAGGTTTTGTAGTTTATTGAAGAAAAAGCAAAATCATAAACATAGAAATAAGGTTGCAAAAGTTCAATAGCCAAAACAGAGTCTTAAATGCAAAGGCAGAGTTTCCAAGGTCCAAAGGCAAATAACATGAAGTATAATCCACAAGCATGGGTCAAACAAGAATCCATGGCAGCATGACAAAGTCCCCAGAAACCAAGATCAAAACCAAAGTCCCAAAGAGCCAAAAGCTTTCCCCAAAAGCCGAGGCAATTCCAGAGAAGTTAACAGGGTGTAAGCAAAGTTGCACTGACAAAAGGTTGACTTCAATCAGATCGTTAAATATGTTTTCCTAGCATGAAAGCATTGCGTTGACCTCGAACTTCCCATTTGTTAGCAAGCCGAGCACTTCTGCGTACCCTTAATTGCAAATGGTCCTCCCTAACTAAATCCCCAGCACCTTCAAGACTGAATCACTCATTATCCTGGGACTGGCCCGCCTGGGAATCGACAGGCACTGAGCTCACAGCTGGAGCGGTCGACTCCTCCACCTGCAGCTGTGAAGTTTCACTCAAATCATGACCATCTTCAAAAACAACATTCCTTTCCCTGGGAAACTGAAACGCTGCCTCGTCTTCAGTATCAATACTGTCTGCATCAACAACAGGGACATGTTCAGAAATCTGTAACCCATCATCCTCATCCTGAGGAAACTCAGGCTCAGAAAACTCAGGCTCAGACTGAGCCACAAAACTCTCCACTAAAAAGTTAATAATATATTACAAAACCAAAAGTTTTGGCAACGGTTCCTTCACCTGAAAGAACTGCAGACATGTCAAAACCATCTTTCTTCAAAAAGTTAGAAGAAAAACAATAACACTTTCTAGAATGATAACATGGTTTTGTTCTTGTTCTGTTAAAACCCAGAAGTAGACTTTTGTGGGCACCCAAAAATAAACTGAAAAAGCATAGTATAAAAACAAGTTTATAGAAATAGTTGATGCATGCTATAATTTTAACAGAAAACAGTGACAATACATTGCAACTATCTCTGAGTAAACACCTGGTTTATCTTATTTAGCTAGCTATAGGGATCATACCGTGTCCCCGCTAAAGCAGCTCCACTGGCTTCCGACGAGTTTCCAAGATCAACTCAAGGTGCAGGTTATTATCTATAAAACCCTATACGCTTCAGGTCCAACCTATCTTCAAGACCGCATCTCTCTTTATGAAACGGCGTAGGCTTTGAGATTGACAAATTTTCAATGTCCCGCCACCGTCTTGAGTGCAGTTGAGAGAGAGAGAGGGTCTTCTCTGTGGTGGCTCCCCAGCTCTGGAACGCCCTCCCAAAAGAGATTAGGTTAGCCCCTTAGTTTTAATTGTATATTGTGGATTGTTATGGCATCAAATTGCTGCCAATTTGTGAGCCGCCTTGAGTCTCCTTCGGGCTTAAGAAAGACGGGATAGAAATATTGTAAATAAATAAATAAAATGCTGCATAGTGGAGTGCCTTTGTAAGCTGGGGAGATGGTGGCGGGATATAAATAAAGATGATGATGATGATGATGATGATGATGATGATTGTCTGCTATCATCATGTAAACATTGTGGGAAATCAAGAAGTCTGCTATATTATTTCCTTACAGGAAAATTGCCTTGTAAAACTGTATCAGATCTGCCAAATAATTGAGATATACTGTATATACAGGCACATCTAAGTCATGGTAGACCACAGAAAATGGCTATGCTGTGGTAATTGTGTATACTGAAATTATTTCTAAACACAGCAGCCAGACAAGTTACAGGAACATCCAGGAGTGAGCATACCATTCCTATACTAAGGTCACTCCATTGGTTGACCATTAGTTTCTGAACTTTAAAGCCCTACATGGTTTGGGTTAATTGAACTTTTTGAATTTTGAATTTCTAACCTGCAAACCATAAAATGCAACAGCCGCATTATTATTATTGGTAAATTCTAAAGGATTTTACATGATGAAACTATCTTGATTTCTGAACAGAGACAAGGAATAGGGGCAACAGTTTCTTACCCATTCTCCTGTATTTCTAGCTTGTCAAACCACATGATCAGAGTGACAGCAGCATTGTACATTTCTGCATGTATTTGAGGCTCCTCAGAAGCTTGAATGTAAGTCTAGGGAATAGAGAGAAGGGGGGAAACAGTTTAATACTATGTTTGCCACTTGCCTAATCAAGGGGGTGGGTGGGATGCAAAACTAACATCAAATCTTCCCAAAGGGCTTAAAATTAATGATGAATTGATGGTAAACAGACAAGAGAAGTGTGGGAAGAATAAGATAAACACATGAGTAGTAAACAATAGGACTGGGTTAAGGAAATCTGAGAAGAGGAAGATTGAAAAAGGAGAGGAAACGTAATGGCTCAGCCCTGGTTGTATTCAAATAAACAGGATCCTGTGTGTCAGGTTGTGTATGTTTATATGCTTCCTCTGAATAGATACACAACTTTCTCTACTCAAAAGGGAAACAAGGATGAGTTGTGGATCCTTCTATGAAGCTGCCTATCATCTCCCCCCCAAAAATATCCACTTTTACATGTGGGAATATCAAGTCATTAATTTGTCTTTCTCTTCTTCAGCTTCCAAGTCTCATGTTTTCACCTTGCTGAAGCATAACTGTCCCTTTCTTTCCCAATTCTTGTGCATGACAGAGCTGCCATGGTGATTTATCAAGCTGGATTTGTGTTTGCAAGATGACAGAGTTGACACAGGAGCCAGACATAAAGACAGGCATTAATACAGCAGTCCAAAGTGAATTCTTCAAATCAGGAATTGAATATATATTTGCCCAACAAATGCAGATATCTGAAATATATATTTGCCCAAGGTAAGGCATTGAATTTTGCCATTATTTATGTGTAAACTGCTTTGAGTCCCCCCAGGGGTGAGAAAGGTGGTATATAAATACTGTAAATACTACTACTACTACTACTACTACTACTACTACTACTACTAATAATAATAATAATAATAATAATAATAATAATAATAATAATACAGTTAACCCTACATTTGCACAGGGCTCCTGTGAAAATGAGAAAACCACACATAACACATAGAATCATAGAATCAAAGAGTTGGAAAAGACCTCATGGGCCATCCAGTCCAACCCCCTGCCAAGAAGCAGGAATATTGCATTCAAATCACCCCTGACAAATGGCCATCCAGCCTCTGCTTAAAAGCTTCCAAAGAAGGAGCCTCCACCACACTCCGGGGCAGAGAGTTCCACTGCTGAACGGCTCTCACAGTCAGGAAGTTCTTAGCATAAACATGCTACTTGTTTATCTGAGTAAACATCTCTTCTAGGTATCAGTAGGATTTTCAGTATGACTCTATGGTCAACACCCATTGGTCATCACATTGGAGGGCTTACAAATACCTAATGAAGTTTTCTCCAGGAATCTCTAGCTCAGTGGTTCTCAACCTTTGAGTCCTCAGATGTTTTGACCTTCAACTCCCAGAAATCCTAACAGATGGTAAACTGGCTGGGATTTCTGGGAGTTGTAGGTCAAAACACCTGGAGACCCACAGGTTGAGGACCACTGCCTAGCTTCTCCAACACAACACAATAAGCAATTTTTGGTGGAAGTTGACCATACATAGAGTCACACTGGATGACCTACACATGTGGAGGGCCAAATGTATATCGTTTTCACAAAATTACTTTTAAAAAAAACGATTTCGTTTCAAAGTTCGTCCGTCTTGATGAAGTTGTTCTGCCTTTGGGAATGACTATTATTGCTAGATATAGTCCGGGACTCCCAACAGTTGGAGGGACTGTGAACCAGCCTCAGTTTTAAAAGTTTGAGGACCCTGATGTAGAGCACTTATATGGCACACTTCAGCCAAAATTACAATTGGCTAATTTGTCAATTTCCTGCCATCAGACTTATTTAAAAAAAATAACAGTGTGGAAGCATATTAATTTCAATAAATAATAGTGTCTTCTCTCTCTGCAAGGTCATAGTAATGGCAGTTCGGATGAAAAGAGGGCCTTTCATCCGCTACTGGACAATGATGGGACATAATTGGAGGAAGCGGACTCTAGAATTTAAGAGATTCCTAGAGATAATATTTTTAAGACAATCTGTGAATAAACAAATGCACAAAAGTGAAAACTGCAAATGTAGATGGGGGGAAGACATATTAAAAGGTATCCCTTACATAAAATGATAAAATTTGCTTTTGGGACTTTTAAAAGATATTTTCAATCTATGGACAGTTTAATCTGTGGATAAAGAATCCACGGATATGGAGGGATGACTGTACTACTACTTTTGTAAAGCATCACATTCCAAGCCTTCATATACATTGATTGAAGACCGCATCGCTTTCTACGATGCGGGCTCTACGATTTCTGGCGCGGGCTCTGAGATCAATAGAGAAGGCCCTTCTCTCGGTCCCACCAATGTCACAAGCATGGTTGGTGGGGACAAGAGAGGAGACCTTCTTGGTGGTGGCTCCCTGGCTCTGGAGTACCCTCCCAAAAGAGATTAGGTTAGCTCCCGCCCTTCATTCCTTCTGTTCCAACCTGAAAACATGGATGTTCAAACAAGCTTTTGACCTAAAGTAGGCTGACTTGGCCCATATGAAGTAGACACTTGGCACCTTGTGAATTGATGGTAGCTAGTTTTATCTACTGTTGTTTTTAAAATTGTATTATTTTGATATTATGCTATATGTGTTGATAGGGGTTGTTATTATAATTTTATGTGACTTATTTAACACTTATGTACTGTTGTTACCTGTTGTATGTTATATATGCACCCTGGAGTGCCTTTATAAGATGCCTCAAGTCCTTCAGGAAGATGGTGGCGGGATATAAATAATAGTTTATTATTATTATTTTACTGACACAAGAACACTGTATGTCACAGCAAATGAGATATATATGCTGGATTTCATATCACAAAATCACAAGTCGAACACTTCCCAAACATCTAGGACTGTGTGATGTATTTTCGAATGATGTGCGCAGATCCAAGTAAGGTGGCCGTTATCAGGATCTCAAAATCGAACTGTAAAGGCTCTGGCATAAACCAGTACAGGTGGTCCCAACAAGATTTCAGCCGGCATTTGGAAACAATAAAGATTATTTTTATTTGAAACACAACAAGATGAGTCTACAGCAGGCAAGATCACTCTTCTGGCTGTTGTATTGGATCACTTCCCATGTGTCTAGGACTGTGTATCAGCAAATAATGTGTGCAGATCCCAGTAAGGTGGCCTTCTGCAACTGGCAGATGCTAAGTGTTTAAGTGCAGGCCAAGGTCTTTAGGCACTGCACCCAGTGTGCTGATCACCACTGGGACCACCTTACTGGCTTGTGCCAGAGTCTTTGCAGTTCAATCTTTAAATCCTCATATCGTGTCAGCTTTTCCAGTTGTTTCTCTTCAATTTTGCTGTCATCTGGGATTGCAACATCAACAATCTATACTTTGTTTTTTAACACAATTATGTGGTCAGGAGTATTGTGCTCCAGGACTCTGTCTGTCTGAATTCGGAAGTCCCAGAGGAGTTTGATGTGTTCATTTTCTGTAACTTTTTCCAGCTTGTGATTCCACCAGTTCTTTGTCACAGTCAGGTGGTGTTGGTGGCACAAGTTCCAATGAATTATCTAAGCAAGGTTGTTATGCCTCTGCTTGTAGTCTGTCTGCGTGATCTTCTTGCAGCAGCTCAGGATGTGATCTATTGTTTCATCTGCTTCCTTGCAGAGTCTACATTTGGGATCTGTCGTCGACTTTTCAATTCTGGCTTTGATGGCATTTGTTCTAATGGCTTGTTCTTGGGCTGCCAGAATCAGGCCCTCTGTCTCCTTTTTCAGAGTTCCATTTGTGAGCCACAGCCATGTTTTTTCTTTGTCAATTTGGCTCTCAATTTTTCCCAGGAACTGTCCATGGAGAGCCTTCTTTTGCCAGTTTTCTCTTCTGCTCTGGATTGTGTTTTTACGGTATTCCCTCTTTGTCTTTTGCACTTTAAGCAGTTTACTACTATTGACTTCCCTCAATGTTGGTTCTTGACTGCCTTTCACATAATCTGCCAGTGCATGTTTCTCTTCTTCTACATTTGTTTCACTTGCAGAAGCCCTCTGCCTCCTGATTTTCTGGGCAGGTAAAGTCTGTCGACATCACTACACGGGTGTAATGAGTAGTGGATTGTCATCAGTTTTCTTGTTTTTCTGTCCAGATCATCCAGCTCTGCTTGTGTCCAGTTCACAATCCCAGCAGTGCATCTAATGACAGGGATGGCCCAGATGTTGATAGCCTTGATCGTATTTCCGCCATTTAATTTGCTCTTCAAAACCTTTCTGACTCTTTGGAAATATTCTTTGCTGACCACATTTTTCACATGCCCATGCTTGATACTGTCCAACTGTAGTATGCCCAGATATTTATAGGCTTCAGGCTGACTGCATTTTATGGTTTGGCTGTTTGGCATCTCTATGCTCTCGTTGTGTGTAATTTTCCCTATTATTGTTGTTGTTGTTGTTGTTATTCTTGAAACACCACAGGATGACTCCACAGCACACACTCTGCTGGGTGTTGTATTGGATCACACGTCGGACACTTTCCAAGTGTCTAGGACTGTGTGATGTATCGGTAAATAATGCGTGCAGATCCCAGTAAGGTGGCCTTTTGCATCTGGCAGATGGTTATCTTCTCATCGCCAATTGTATTTAAGTGCAGGCCAAGGTCTTTAGGCACTGCACCCAGTGTGCCGATCACCACTGGGACCACCTTGACTGGCTTGTGCCAGAGTCTTTGCAGTTCGATCTTTAAATCCTCATATCGTGTCAGCTTTTCCAGTTGTTTCTCTTCAATCCTGCTGTCACCTGGGATTGCAACATCGACAATCCATACTTTGTTTTTTAACACTATCGTGAGGTTAGGAGTATTATGCTCCAAAACTCTGTCTGTCTGAATCCAGAAGTCCCAGAGTAGCTCAACATGTTCATTTTCTGCAATTATTATTATTATTATTATTATTATTATTATTATTGAATGTCATTAACTCTAAGGTTTTCTAATAAGTCCATTTCTATCTATCGCATAGATATTTCATTAGTCTGACTACTTTTTCCTTGGAATAACAAAACCAGAAATACAAAGCCGTACGCCTTCCCACCCTCCCCCATCCGAAATCTCCAACAGAATGGTTTATGAAAATTGTGCTGGAGTTGCCCTAAAGACACAAAGCATGATTCCCTGTACCAATGCATTTGTTCTTCTCTAGTAAGCATATAAAAGGGCTACAGCTAGAAAAAGGGGATGGGGAGTGAATGAGAAAACTCCATAGAAAGACATAAACAATAGTCTTGAGGATTAAGAAGCCTCACAATCTCAAAAGTCCAGAATCTAGAGCAGACCTTTTTTTCTTATTCATAAGAATGCCAGAGTTAAAAGGTGTTGCGAACTAACTTGTCGCAAAAGTGATCACGCACCTGGCAGATCTCGCCTGATAGAAAAAGACACCTCAGTCAACTTCCCGGTTTTCTTTTTGTTCCAATCCATCACAATGAATCTTTTCACAAACATCAGAATATTATATAATCCTCCCCTGTCCCCCACTTTCTGTTGGAGCTGACACATCAGTGACACATATATGAATGCTGACAGGACATTGTTAGAAGAGGAAAGATACTTATTATTTTTATTAGGACTCCGATGGCTGCAGGAGTCTGAGTCCTCCTTTGATGGTCACATCTGCCTGCAGCCAATTAATTTTTCCCTTTTCCCACTGTCCCCTCAGCTCCATTCTCCAGTAAATTAAGTTGGAAACCATCAATCTATGGTTCTGGAAGGATGGGGTTCATTAAAATCAGATCACGCTATACTGAGAGTGCGGAACTTAACCAATTTTAAATGGGGAAAGTCCTCCATTGCACTAGATCTTCTTTGTGATGGTATGGCACATCATAAATCCCAACTCTGCAAATTGATGTTCTTCTTTCAGTGAGGATAATAATCAGTCTGCAGCCAAGGCCGATGAAACCGTTACACAAAATGAGACAGCCATTTCAATCTGTGGAGGCAAAGGGTCAGGAAGTGTTGGAGACACTGCTGTGTTATACTCAAATAATTATAGAGTTGGAAGAGACCCAAAGGGCTATCCAATCCAACCTCCTGACTTTCAGGAATACACATACACATATTGGCAATCAAATATGTTTTGTTTGTTGTTGTTTATTCGTTCCGACTTTTTGTGACTTCATGGACCAGCCCACGCCAGAGCTCCCTGTCAACTGTGGCCACCACCAGCTCCTTCAAGGTCAAGCCTGTCACTTCAAGAATACCATCCATCCACCTTGTCCTCTTCCTTTTCCTTCCATTTTCCTCAGCATCATTGTCTTCTCCAAGCTTTCCTGTCTTCTCATGATGTGGCCAAAGTACTTCATCTTTGCCTCTACTATCCTTCCCTCCAGTGAGCAGTTGGGCTTTATTTCCTGAAGTATGGACTAGTTGGATCTTCTGGCAGTCCAAGGCACTCTCATAACTTTCCTCCAACACCACAGTTCAAAAGCATCTATCTTCCTTCGCTCAGCCTTCCCTATGGTCCAGCTCTCACATCCATAGGTTACTATGGGGAATACCATTGCTTTAACTGTGCAGATCTTCGTTGTCAGTGAGATGTCTCTACTCTTCACTATTTTATCGAGATTGGTCATTGCTCTCCTCCCAAGAAGTAAACAGCGTCTGCAGTCTTCTTCACGCTTAGAAAAACAAAGCCTGTCACTGCCTCCACATTTCCTCCCTGTATTTTCAATCAATCAGTATAGTTGCCATCATCTTGCTTTTTTTTAGTTTAACTGCAATCCAGCTTTTGCACTTTCTGCTTTCACTTTGGTCATAAGGCTCCTCAGCACCTCCTCGCTTTCAGCCATCAAAGTGATATAATCTGCATATCAAATGTTGTTAATGTTTCTTCTAGCAATTTTAACTCCAGCCTTGCATTCGTCAAGCCCCGCACGTTGCATGATGTGTTCTGCATACAAGTTGAATAGGTTGGGTGAGAGTATACAACCTTGCCATACTCCTTTCCCAATCTTGAACCAGTCTGTTGTTCCATGGCCTGTTCTTACTGTTGCTGCTTGGTTGTTATACAGATTCCTCAGGAAACAGACAAGGTGACTTGGTATCCCCATGCCACCAAAACTGTGTAAAAAAAACTCCAATGAAGGAGATTCCATCACACTTTGAGACAACATATTAACATATTCCACTATCAAACAGTACTTACTCAGGAGGTTCTTCCTAATATTTAGATGGAATCTTTTTTTTCCTGTAGTTTGAAGGATGGCTTTTGAAGGAGGCGAGATGGCCATCTGTCAGGGGTGCTTTGATTGTGCTTTTCCTGCATAGCAGGGAGTTGGACTGCCTAGCTATCTATTATGTCAAAGTCAGGCAATTCAAGGCCATCCAGATTTTGCTGGACTAAAATTTCTATCAGTACTAGCTAGGTATGGTTAATGTTGAGGAGTTATGGCAGTATATTCTGAAGGACCACATACTCTGTATACCTACACTATGCCCTTATGTGATACATGAGAGAAAGAAAGTTTGGGAACATTTAGGTCACCCTGATTTCCATCAATATCTCTGAAATATGTTAGACAGCCAACAAAGGACAGAAACTGAAAGCTGGTTTGGTTGCTGTGAGTTTTCCAAGCTGTATGCATTCCAAGCTTCCTTCCCAGCAGTAACGGAGCCCCGGGTGGCGCAGTGGGTTAAACCCCTGTGCCGGCAGGACTGAAGACCGACAGGTCGCAGGTTCGAATCCGGGGAGAGGCAGATGAGCTCCCTCTATCAGCTCCAGCTCCTCATGCGGGGACATGAGAGAAGCCTCCCACAAGGATGATAAAAACATCAAATCATCCAGGCATCCCCTGGGCAACGTCCTTGCAGACGGCCAATTCTCTCACACCAGAAGCGACTTGCAGTTTCTCAAGTCGCTTCTGAAACGACAAAAAAAAAACCCCACATCTAGATCCCCCCGTGGGGCGCAGTGGGTTAAACCCTTGTGCCGGCAGGACTGAAGAACGACAGGTCACAGGTTCGAATCCAGGGAGAGGCGGATGAGCTCCCTCTATCAGCTCCAGCTCCTCATGCGGGGACATGAGAGAAGCCTCCCACAAGGATGATAAAAACAAATCATCCGGGCGTCCCCTGGGCAACGTCCTTGCAGACGGCCAATTCTCTCACACCAGAAGCGACTTGCAGTTTCTCAGGTCGCTCCTAACACGACAAAAAAAAAGTAGTTTCTAAGAGACCTCACAACCTCTGAGGATGCCTGCCATAGATGTGGATGAAAGTCAGGAGAGAATGCTTCTGGAACATGGCCATACAACCTGGAAAACTCACAGCAACCCAGTGATTCCGGCCATGAAAGCCTTTGACAACACATTGAAAGCGGGTTGTTTTCCATACCATGATATGACTGATGACATGTGTCAGATCATCAAGGTAATACTCCTCGATTGCATGGGGCTTGCCTTCCACTTCAAACACATAGGCTGGGTACAATTTATCGCGAACTGGGATTGCAAAGTAGTCGGCAAACTCTTGACAGTTGATTGTCGCTGACATCAGAATGACCTGTCGAAAAAAAATTCAGAGGAACAAGTTGAGTAGATACTGAGCTTCAGCCGGCTTGCTGCAGAGTATCAACAGGAGATAGTTAGAGCCAAAGCGATGCCATCTCTACAAAAAAGTCCATCAACTATCTTAGTTAGGTTCTTGACGCCCACTGGTGGTCCACGGACCACAGATTGGGCAGTACTGATCTAGAAGATGTAAATCTGGAATTGCAATGTACAAAAAAAAAAGTCACAGTGGACATTCTGATCAAAGGCCTATCTAGTTCAATACTGTGTTCCAAAAGTAGTTAAGCAGATATTCAGAGATAACCAATCAGGAGTGGTCACCTTCTGTGAGACCACAGGCTCCTTTTTCATGCTTGAGGAGAGCAGCACTGCAGGAGATGTGACCTAGAACAGGCATGGGCAAATTTCAGCCCTCCAGGTGTTTTGGACTTCAACTCCCACAATTCCTAACAGCCTACCAGTTGTTAGGAATTCTGGGAGTTGCAGTCCAAAACACCTGGAGGGCCCAAGTTTGCCCATGATTGATCCTGGCTGATTTTGACCTCATGTAAGTCCCTTGGAGAGATGGTAGTGGGGTACAAATAAAGTATTATTATTATTATTATTATTATTATTATTAAAGAAAGAGACACATAACAGTTTTTTCCCAACTTCACTATGATATTAGGAAAAAAGCAGGCTGCGAGAAAAGAAAATGTAACGTTTACATGAAATAAAGGATGAGGTAGTACAAAGGAAGTGCCCGTGAAATGCAAGTTTTAAATGAATTACAAAAATGAAGATGCATGTGAATAAACAAGTCTGTTTATGATTTGAATGCATGCACATGCTTCATATGCACACACTCACATACACCTACAAAACCAAACGAAAACAAATGTTGACAATATTTTGTTTTCCACATTTCCACATCATTTCAGTAAGAGCACAAATTGTTTATTCAGTGTGCAAATCAAGAACAAAAGCAGCTTGGGGCAAAATACAGTTGTTAAAAATTATGACTGTCCTTTTGTTTATTAATATGAAATTAAATTAAATCAGTAAGAAGGTACAAATGGGAACTCCAGGTACATTAAAACCATCCTGAGCAAAATATTTGTGGATGGCTTTTCATTGTGCCTACTTTTTATGCAAACTGAATGCCCGAGGGCGCCGAAAACCATATCCTCTACCAAGCCTCTTATTTTTCTTATTTCTCCACTGAGAATATGTGCACAATTTTACACAGCATACTAAGCAATCACATCTTTCTTTTTTTTAAAAAAATCGTAACCACAAAATTAATAATATCACAGTTACAGTGCCACCATTTTAAGGACAGATGGATAGCTTTTAAAAGACCGTGTCTTCTTCGGGGACACCACTGAAAGTCTGCAGCTACCTCAGGGAACATTGTTAGTATCAGGGGAAACTGCATGTACAACTCTGATAAGTGTTCCAGCTGGAACATCCTCCTCTGATGTGCCAAGAATTGCTTGAGGGCAATCCCAGCTGCGTCTCCTGGCTTCGAATAGGCTGTTTTCAGCTGTGATGTCCTTTTCCGCAGAGGAATGAGTGACTGTTGGAAGCAGATGGCAGTGGCAAAAGGACCGAGAAGGGAAGTAGCGAGTGAGCTAGCATATTATTTTTAAGACAGTCAGATCTTTCATGATAGGGTTCTTCAGCATCCTGCTCACATGGAAATACTGGATTCAGAGACATCTAATGGGCAAGAAGTGATCAACAGCCTTTCTACACGATTGCCCAATGATTAGAATGGTTCCCTAATTTTGTTTTATGCTATGACCTGTTTGTAACATAGTGGGCAAATAAACATCCACTCAATGCACATATTCTTTCTGTGTTCAATATCTCAAGTTTTTCAGCAGTCGCTTTTAGTTTCTGCCAGCTCACTGCCTAGTTCTACTAACATTTTGAGATCCTACAGGATTCTCAATATCACATGGCATACCTACCATATATACTCAAATATAAGCCGAGTTTTTCAGCCCTTTTTTAAGGCTGAAAAAGCCCCCCTCGGCTTATATTCGAGTCAAGGTTCTTATTTTACTCTGTTATGATTTTTCAGCTCTTTTTTTAGGATGAAAAAGCCTTCCTCAGCCTATATTTGAGTCAAAGTTATTTATCGTTTTACTCTGTAATTATTATTTTTATTACATTTATTATTTTACTCTATTTTTATTATTATTACATTTACATTATTTTACTCTATTATTATTTTTATTACATTTATTATTTCACTCTCTATTATTGGAAGGATACATAAGCACATTTTCAAAGCAAACCCAAGAATCCTACGGATTGGACTCTATTAAATGACTTTTCTTCTTCTTTGAAAACAAAAGGAAATGAAGTAAATAAGAGAAGACAGAGAGATTAACTACAATTAATATATAAAAGACTAATATCCCGGACAGGAAAAGATTTGGAAATCAACAAGATTTTATTTGGAACTCTCTCCCACTGGAGATCAGAACTGCCCCCTCCATTCTGTCGTTCAGAAAACGGGTGAAAACCTGGCTATGGGGTTTGGCTTTCGACGAGTGAATCAATATTTCTGTGATCGGATAGATGACGATGAATGATGGACAACGAATTCACTATGACGACTGACCATTGTTATTATGTGATTGCATTTTGCTATTATAACGTTTTAATTGAATATGTTATATGATGTTTTTAATGATTGTTTTGTGATTTTATTGTTGGAAACCGGCCCGAGTCCCCCGATAGAGGGGAGAAGACTGGTATACAAAATTGTTAAATAAATAAATAAATTTATTTCCATCTTTTTTTTCCAATTTTTTAAATTTGTCATTTTTTTTACTCCCCTTCTCCTTTTTATCCTATTCCCTTCAACCTCTTCACTATTACCCCCATTTGTAGGGAAACCCCTTTACCCTTTTCACCCGATAGATTTTTCCCCACATCCCAGATACTCCTATACCCTCCTAAAAAATTTTTTTCTTCCCCCACAAATTCAATAAAAAATATATTTAATAAGCACATTTATAATGCAGAAGGTTAGAATAGTGGTTTAATCAGAATTGGACAGTCTTATCTTAAATTACAGTTTTATGTAAATATTAAAAAACATTTAACCTATTGATGCCTCAATTAATGTAACTTTATTGGTATCTATTTTTATTTTGACATTTACCAGTAAGTAGCTGCTGCATTTCCCACCCTCAGCTTATACTCGAGTCAATATGTTTTCCCTTCTTTTTTGTGGCAAAATAAGGTCCCTCAGTTTATATTTGGGTCGGCTTATACTCGAGTATATACAGTACTTCCTGAAAGCCAACACAGTTACTAATGTCAAGATATTGGGGATTACTCATATAGACCTGAATTATGGTAAACTGATCTCATATTTTTACATAAATATGGACTAGGAGTTTATGGTTCTATCAGTGGGTTTGTGGACTGAGTATTGTTTTAATGACTTATGATAATTTGGTTATAATTAACTGCTATTGTTTTAACTCTGTATGTATTTATGGTTTTATACTGTGTTATTGATTGTGGCATCGAATTGCTGCCTTTGTTAGCCGCTCTGAGTCCCCCCTCGGGGGTTGAGAAGGGCGAGGTAAAAATGCTGTAAATAAAATAAGTAAAATAATAGGAGTTCACAATTACCTTCACGAACCGTGAATTGGTGCGCAGTAGTTTACGGACAACCAGCAGTAAGAAATCCATTTCTTCAGTACGCTCGTGTACCTATAAATAATCAACAAATAGTGCGACTCAGCACAAAATGAGTTTGCTGTAATTCACATTTTGTGTTCTGATATCCACATTCCTGATTTCCTAACCCTTCGATGGAAAGTTCCTTCCCTACTCTCTTCGGGGCTAGCAGTAGAAGATTCAAAGCAAGATTTGCAAAGAGAATTAGAGGACTACTTGCAAATTCTTGTTGCAACCCAATCGTGCTGAGAAATAGAGCAAATGTAATATTCTGCCATGGTTGGATCTGGAAATTTCAAAGTGGATTCAGAGATTGTGATAATATTCTGACTCTGTGCTGGCCTAAACCTGAACTTGTGGCATGTGACAGATGTGAGAGGAAGCCACAGGGAAGAGGGAGCAAGCTTGTTTTCTGCTTCCCTGGAGACTAGGACGCAATGGAACAATGGCTTCAAACTACAAGAGAGGAGATTCCATCTGAACATGAGGAAGAACTTCCTGACTGTGAGAGCCGTTCAGCAGTGGAACTCTCTGCCCCGGAGTGTGGTGGAGGCTCCTTCTTTGGAAGCTTTTAAACAGGCTGGATGGCCATCTGTCAGGGGTGATTTGAATGCAATATTCCTGCTTCTTGGCAGGGGGTTGGACTGGATGGCCCATGAGGTCTCTTCCAACTCTTTGATTCTATGATTCTATGGTAGCTGCCATAGATAGGCCAAGCAGAGGCTGAATTGTTGCTGTGCTGAAAGCAATTTAGAAGTGCTTAGGGAACTTTTTAAAATGGAAAGTGGGAAAAGGTACGAAAGAGAAAGAAAGGAAAAAGAGAATCCAGAGAAAAAGACTCAAGCACTAGAAAGGACTGCTCAATGGAGGAGAACACCAGAAGAGTTGGTCTGCTGGTGGGCGAGGAGAAAGCAAAGAGAAACTTGGTGGGCTGGAGTATGCGTGATGGGTGATAAGGTGCAGTCAACTCAGGAAAATTCTAAGAGTCACACCCCCACGTTGGCTTTCTATGACAAGGCTACGCACCAAGAAATAAACCAAGCCCAATAATAATAATAATAATAATAATAATAATAATAATAATAATAATAATAAATAGTCTTTATTTCTATACCTCCCTATCTCCCCGAGGGACTCAGGGCGGTTTACAACAGAATATTGGCAAACATTCAATGCCGGCATAACATAACAAACAAATCAAATCATAAACAATAAAATGAACAACATCAGGTGTACTTATAGAACAACTCAAAAATAACAAACTTAGATATTCAAATATATAAATCAAGAGATACTGGTGCCCTGAGGAATGAAATTGTAATGTTGGTAAAGTGATGCAGACATCTGAATGGTAAACTAGTAAAAAGTAAAGATTTACCTTACCACAGAAGTGGTACCTATTGATCTACTCACACTTGCTCACCCCGCTCCCCGGATTTGAATCACCAACCTTTTGGTCAGCAAGTTGAGCAGCTTAGCAGTTTAAACCGCTGCACCACCAAAGGTCCCAACATCTAACCATATTCTCTATCAAAAGCCTGGATGAGCAGATCCAGATTAGTACTTGGTTGGGAGAATGCCAATGAATACTACATCTCTTAGTCTATATTTCAGTGGAAGAAACTGGCAAAGCCACTTGTAAGTATTCCTTGCCAAGGAAAACCCTATGAAATTGATGGTGTCACAGTAAGTTGACAAGCAGGTGTCCATATTGCAAAGGGATTGTATAGTATCTATATCCATTTAAAGCTAGTGGGCATGTTATTCCAAAACAATTGTAGTTCTCAATATTTGAACCTGCAATAAGTGTCTAAGAATAACATTTCCAGATCAAAGGAATCAACTTAAATGCTGGAGCAATGTCAGCTTTCAAAAATAGTCTTCATTTCAATGTATCTGTTCAGAAGTAAAAGTTCTCTCAATCAACTGAAGCTTTTTGAACTAGATCTTGACCATTGCCTATGTTAATTGGGAAACTGTGCAAGCTTTAATCCACAAAAGTTTCCCCCAATCAAGCTCCAGTTAATTCAGAAATCTCCTGTATAAGTTGCTAAAGGACTGCAGCCTTTTCTCATCCTCATACTTACCTCATCTATGAAGATGTGGGTGAACTCTGAAAGAGTTTTGGCTCCGACAAGTTTCTGAAGGAGAATGCCAGTCGTTGCATACATCAGTCTGGTCTTTTCTGATGCAACCTTTTCTAAACCAACCTGCAAACATAATCAGACAAGTCATATCTACCACTCTTTCCTCTTGCTCTTGGGAAGGATCCAGAATCCTTATTATCTTCCAGTTTCTGTAGAAGCTGGACTCAGTGTTTTCAGTAGTCCCTTGCCTCCCCCTACCTCTTGAGGATTGTTTTGGCTATTTGTAATCTTATATTTTATCCCCAATTTCAGGAGGCAGCAGCATAGGATTGCAAGAAATCAAAACCACAAGTGTGAAACCTGCAGATGTGGAGGTCCGACTTTACTTCCTTGCACAACACCCTCCTAATATGGAGTCATCAGGCATTTGGAAGGAACACAAATACATATATACAAGTTGCCCTGAGTCCAATTATTGGGGAAATGATCTATATAAATAAAAATGTAATGTTCGTTTGTGGGATTGACAGAACTCTAAAACCACTGGGGGAATTGACACCAAATTTGGACACAAGACACCTAACAACCCAATGTATGTCCTTCACTCAAAAAAATTGATTTTGTCATTTGGGAGTTGTAGTTGCTGGGATTTATAGTTCACCTACAATCAAAGAGCATTCTGAACCCCACCAACGATGGAATTTAACCAAACTTGGCACACAGTTCTCCCATGACCAACAGAAAATACTGGAAGGGTTTGGTGGGCAGTGTCCTTTGGTTTTGGAGTTGTAGTTCACCTACATCCAGAGATCACTGTGGACTCAAACAATGATGGATCTGGACCAAACCCGAATACTCAATATGCCCAAATGTGAACACTGGTGGAGTTTGGGGAAAATAGAATCTTGACATTTGGGAGTTGTAATTGCTGGGATTCGTAGTTCACTTACAATCACAGAGCATTCTGAACCACACCAACGATAGAACTGGGCCAAACCTCCCACACAAAACACGCATGACCACCAGAGTGGGCCACAGCAACGCGTGGCAAGGGACAGCTAGTAGGATATAAATGAATGAATTAAATAAGCAAACCACATTTCCCCTTTCTACACGAAGACATGCTCCCATTTTGTTAGAGGTACCTGGTAGCCCACGCGTTCACCCAGTGGCCATGACCGTTGCTTACTGATCCACCTCGCAATGCTGCTTGCCCCAATCTTCCTAGGCTGTGTAACAATGATGTTGCAGTAAGTAGAGTGCTGCTCAAAGTGGTCCAGGACATACTGCGGAAGCTGAGTACTCTTCCCACTCCCAGTAGATCCACGTATAATGACCACTGAGTTGTTCTCTATCAAGGAAACTAGCTGTGTAAAACATAATTTTACAACAATCATTAACTGATACTGGAGGTATGCTGTAAAGATCTTTAAAAATGCATTCTGTACATTTTACTACATTTGATATTTACTCTTAAACATTCTAAAATTCAACCCATGTTCAAAGTGATGGCTTGTTTGGCTGTTTCAGTATTTTTAAAAAGGAAAGATGGAAAAAAGAGTCTTGTGGCACCTTTTAATACTATCCAATTTATTCCTATTGCTCCTCCTTTTGAAGAAGTGGGCTACAGTCACAGAATCACAGAAGAAGAGACCCTATGGGCCATCTAGTCCTACCCCCTGCCATGGAGGAAAAGGACCATCAAAGCATCCCCAACAGAGGGCCATCCAGTCTGTGTTTAAAAGCCTCCAAAGAAGGTGACTCCACCGACTCTGAGGCCGAGATTACCACTGTTGAATAGCTATTACAGCAGTGTTTCTCAACCTTCCTAATGCCACGACCCCTTAATACTGTTCCTCATGTTGTGGTGACCCCCAACCATAAAATTATTTTCGTTGTTACTACATAACTTTCATTTCGCTACTGTTATGAACTGTAATGTAACTAGCTGATATGCAGAATGTATTTTCATTCACCCACAATCATAAATATGAATACAAAACTTTAAAAGGCCATACATCTAGTCTATGACATTGCAAACAAGATGCTAACCAATGTGTTTCTTATAAAGAAACAAAAAACCTTTTCCAAATTTCATTTTAATAAGATTTCACACCTTAACTGAAATCAGCCCAGAAAAAGCTTAAGGAGTATGAAGAAGACTGCAAATTTTATGACGCCAACATTTCACAACTGACAGCCAATGTCATTTACCTGTTCCTTGTATCCTGATATCGGCAAATCTGGATACCTGTAATTGCTAACAGGTACACAAGTCACAGGGCTGGCTTCAGGTTGAGATGGAGCCGAAGTCTCTTAAAAACAAAAACAAAACAGAAATGCAAATTAGTCAAGAGTTGTATGAGACATCGAAATCCAAGATCCAAGAGTAGATTAACAAAAAATAGTCAACGCATCATAACGCAACAATATCGAGATTTCTACTGAGTACAAGAATCTGGATTCAAGTCCACCTATCAACAGAATTCATCCGGTGTTCTCATTTGAATTCTCTTGTTCCCATCACTTCTACAGAGTCACCAGAGTTGGTGCTATCCTTGAATACTACTACTACTCCACATATTATCTGCTTCTCTCTTTTATCTTGTCTGAGTTTTTAATTAGTTTTAATTAGTTGTTTTAATAATTACGTGTAGCCCACCCATTGCCTTTATGTCTGTGTCTATTGAAATTTTTATATTGGTATGTGTTCATATGTTTTATGTAATTATGATGTTGTTTATTGTTTGCATTTTTGGTTCTTTTTATTGTAATTTGTTGTTCGGGCCTGGCCCCATGTAAGCCGCTCCGAGTCCCCATAGGGGAGATGGTGGAAGGGTACAAATAAAGTTGATGATGATGATGATGATGATTATTATTATTATACAATAAAAAGGATGAGCCTCACTTCAGACAGAAAAATGTTTTCAGCTGACACTGGAAAGAATCCTTGTTCCTCTTTAGATATGACCCTGGCATTTCTAGTTAAATTAGGAGTGGGGAAATGTGACCGATGAGCTACACATGGTCCTTGAACCTGATTCCTTGAAGGCAACTTAACTTTTTGAATTATCCCTTAGCCAGAATTCCAAAACCCAGAGTAGTCCAAAATTGTCCACACAAGTAGCTGAGATACCAATAAGTTTACTTTCTGATGGTTCAATGCATCCAAACTTTGTTTCATGCACAATATTACTTTAAAAATCAAAGTTTCCTGAGTATTTTCAAGCCATGGTTTGGACAACCCATGGATTGCAAAGATCTGACTGCATTTCATTGGCTTAAACAAGGATTTTTAATTTTTAATTTATTTATTTTATTTATTTCAGTTACTTATACCCCGCCCTTCTCAGGGCGGCTTACAAAGGAAGGCACAATTCGATGCCTGTGTCAAAAATACATACATACATAAAAGCAATCAAACAGTTAACAGGTTAAAAACATCAGTACATAACACAATAGTAAACAATCTCATGGTCAGTGTTCAGAGTTCCATAAATCCATTCCGTTCTGTCAATTCCTGCCCATCATCAAGGTCTTTCCTTTAGCTGCCAGAATGTCCAAAAGCCTGGTCCCACATCCAGGTCTTCAATTTTTTTCTGAATGACAAAAGGGAAGTCGCTGATCTAATCTCCCCAGGAGTGAGTTCCACAGGTGAGGGGCCACTACCGAGAAGGCCCTGCTCCTCGTCCCCGCCAGCCTCACTTGTGATAGAGGCGGGGTCGAGAGCAGGGCCTCCCCAGAAGATCTTAGACTCCGAGGTGGGACGTAGAGGGAGATCCGTTCGGACAGATACACTGGGCCGGAACCGTATAGGGTTTTGTAGGTCAAAACCAGCACTTTGAATTGTGCTCGGAATTGGATCGGCAGCCAGTGGAGCTGACACAACAGGGGGGTGGTATGCTCCCTGTATGCCGCTCCGGTGAGCAATCTGGTTCATCTAATATGGTTATGAATTGGTATTCCACCTAATACACATGGAAAGTGATAAACTATCTAAATAAAAATACAACTACACACACACGTTCAAATCTATATAAATAAAAATGTAATGTTCGTTTGTGGGATTAACATAACTCAAAAACCACTGGACGAATGGACACCAAATTTGGACACAATACATCTATCAGGCCAACAATTGACCATCACTCATAAAAACACTGAAAAACAGAAGAGACTTAAAAAGTCAAAAAATAAAAATAAATTACAACGCATGTGCAAAACCACATATATACACACACAAAATACATACACAGACTAGGCCACAGCAACGCGTGGCAGGGGATGGCTAGTACTGTAATATTAAACGAGTACAAATACAGATAACATTTAATGAGAGCAGCATTCATTATTTCTAAAATGTTGACAAACAAAAACTGTGTCCCCCACTTACCTGATTATCAAACTAGATAATACACTTAATATGATTTCTGCAATGGTATACACCCAAGTAGAATTTGCGGCAGCACACAATTTTCTTTACTTATAGATCTTGCATTTAACATGCTTTATTATAACTGATCATTGGTAGGTAATACAAGTTTAATTAATAATAATAATTTTATTCTTGTATCCCACCACCAACTCACCGAAGGGACTCGGGGCGGCTTACACAAGGGACAAAAACATAACATAAAATAAAGCACAAAATAAAATACAATGGAATAAAACATACAGACATATGACACAACAACTTCAGATTCAATTAAAACAATGCTCATCAACCGATGGTGGTAAGCGTGGCCAGGTTGTAAACAATAGGACAAAGGAATTGGTTAAGTGCAGAGCTATAACCATTGAACAAGGGCATGGGATGAAGTGAAGGCTGCATAACTACTGCGTAAAACAACTAGGGACTAGGCGTTCTCAAAAGTTTGTTTGAACAGTCAGGTCTTCAGGTCCCTACAGAAGGAGTACAGTGTGGTGGCCATCCTAATATCCATGGGGAGGGCGTTTGAAAGTCGCGAGGCCACCACCGAGAAGGCCCTCTCCCTCATCCCCATCAACTGTGGTTGTGATGGTGGTGGGACTGAGAGGAGGGCCTCTCCAGCAGATCTTAAAATTGAAATATCCTATTGCAACCTGGGGAAACTCTATAGTAAGAAGATTTACAGGTTTTTTGGTTTAATTATAGAGTTTGTAAACACCTCTTTCTAAACTGTCTTGAGAGAGGACTATTTTGAAGACGATTCTGTCTGGAATCTCTAATAATTAACTTAGTCTCTTCCAGCCACAAAGATCCCAGACAGAAGGGGTCGGAGAAAGGCCTCCTGCCAAAACTGATAATGCTGAGCTGACTTTAAGAAAGACCCTGTCAAAAAGATTCTGAAAAGGAGTCAGAGCAAGAGAGAGAGAGAGAGAAGATACAAAAGAAAGAAAGCAATGCACAAATAAACCCAGAAAACACAAAGATTTAAAACATTTGGAAAGCCTGGAGAAATAAGACCTTTGGGAGGAAATAAAGGAGTCTCATGACTATTGTTAAGGAGGTCAACACAAATGAGACTCCAATTTTTCCTTACTAACAGCCATCAATACTATGAGCACAGTGGTTCCTTGCTATGGATACTGAGATGCTTATCTCTCATCATCCCTGACTACTGGTCATACTGGCTGGATGTGATGGGAATTGTAGTCCAAACAGGTCTGGAGATCACCAAGTTGAAGGGGGGAAAAGACTAGGATGCATATCATCTCAAAGAACTTTCATCAGGAGACCACAAAAACCATTAACTATGACTTCCTCAGGACAAAATAACACAAGATTACCTTTCTCAATGCTCTCTGCATTTTGTAAGGAATGCCAGTTTAAGAGAGTTTACCATCTGTAATTTTTATTTTATTTGGGAAGGATATCATCTTCATATATATTAAAAAGGAGGTTTCCCATCTGGCTTTGTCTACACTATGACTCTCAGAAGCCTCCTGAAAGCTTTATTTATGTATTTTTACTTTGTGCCTTGCTGTTCTTCCAACAAAACTCCAGACTTCTCTGGAGGGCCAACTATTTCCTATCCTAAGCATTGAAGACTGCCTCCTCTCTAAACTAAGGCTGAGAAAAAGACAGACCAGGATCTACTGACAGATCTCTGGTGAATTGGCAACAGGTCACAAATGATTTCTGTCTCTCAATTGCTTTATAAAAGCCAAGTATTATTTTTCTCTCCAAATTATGCCACTGAATCAAAAGAGGCTGAAAGTGTGAAGAATGTCATAGAAGACTGAATGTAGTCCTTGCAGTGAAAAGATATCCCTGTGTGAAGGTATACTGTTGTTGCCGTCGTTCCTCCATATCCATAGATTTTGCAAACACGGATTCAATCATCCACAGCTTGATTAAAAAAAAACTGGCCATTTTGTATATGGAACATTCTTTTACTATTCTATTGTTATAGTGTGACTTATTCATCCACACAGATGTTTATGTAAGCTATTTGGGGACAATCTCTAAGACAGTGGTTCTCAACCTGTGGGTCTCCAAGTGTTTTGGCCTACAACTTCCAGAAATCACAGCCAATTTACCAACTGTTAGAATTTCTGGGAGTTGAAGGCCAAAACATCTGGGGACCCACAGGTTATCTGCATATAGACCAGTGGTTCCCAACTTGTGGTCCATGGACCACCAGTAGTCCGCAAAAACTAAAATATGGTCTGCGGCCTCACCATTACTACACTGATGCAACGAGAGAAACTGGTCTTGGGAAACCCTCCTATAGTGCACAGACTTGTTACATATGGGTAAGAAGGTGGCGACTACTGGATGGCATATGTTCTGTATCAAAAACTAGAGCTGATGTGGTCTATCCAATGCAATTTTCTGAATTAGCACCCCAAATAACCAAACTGAATCTAAACTTGACCAAAAATTGATTCATAACCCTTCTGGTACTAATGCTGGAGAGAGGTCTCTGGTCAAAGTGGTCCCTGGTCAAAAAATAGGTTGGGAAACACTGATGTAGACCAATCACATCCCCTGATCTCCATATCCACTGCTCTATATAAGACTCTATTTGAATCCCAAAGTTCTTGGGGGGGAGCCAGGAAGAAGTAATAAGTTTTGCTGTCTTTACACTATAATACCAAGATTTTGCCCTTCCAATGAGGAATCTGAAATGTTTGGGAAAGAAAGTCAATAGACACAGGAAAACATACAAAATTGCTAAATGACTTTTCTTAAGATGGAAAGTTTTGTTAACATAATTTTGATGAATTTTGGGGTGCAATTCAGAATCAAATAACTGCTGTCCATTCCCAGTTCTGTAAATCATCTTGGATTAATGTATTGTCGAAGGCTTTCATGGCCGGAACCACTGGG